AGCGAGTAAGTCGAGTGTCCGCATGAGTGAAGTTGTTTTCCCTCCTCATGCTAACCCTAGTGAGCTGTTCTCTTGTTTGATGTAAGTTATTTTTTCTACATTTACATTTGTTTCATGCCACTGCATTCTGTACATGTATTTATAAGCGATAGTGTTAGCTTATGCTACTATGTTTGTTTATTGCAGGGCTCTCTGTCATTAAAATATAAATTGACATAGAGGAGTCTCTTTCTTTAGTGGGGACCTGGTGGGCTCGGTGTTGAAGCGTTCTAATGACCCCGAGTTTGTGTTGTAGCGGATGATTTGAATCAAAGGCCAGGTACTGGTCAGTGTGAGTGAAGACCTCAGTCTCTAATTGTCCGTTCTCCAGTATGATGACCTTACAATCTAGAAAGGCGAGTTCACTTTATAAAAGGGTCCACCGACTTAATGTGTTCTGAAAATGGTTCCACTTCCTGTTTTTAACCCATGTATCGTCTACATATCGAAACCAATGGCTTGGCGCTGTCCCTTGGTAAGAGACCAGGGCTTGTTCCTCCAGTTTCTCCATATACAGATTGGCCACTATAAGAGAGACTGGGGAGCCCATCGCACAGCCATGAATCTGTCTAAAGAAGGTGCCTCTAAATTGGAAATACGTGGTGTTAAGACACATTTCAAGTATTTCACAGATGTGGTCAGCTGTTAGTTTCGTTCTCTCCCCTAGTGTGGCGTCTTTCTGTAGGCTTTCTCTTACAGCCTCCACCGCCTCTGTAATAGGGACCGACGTAAAAAGCGATGTCACATCAAACGAGACCATTGTCTCATCTGTGTCAAACTGGAGGTGTTTGATTTTATTTACAAATTCTTTTCTATGTGATGGTGGGTGTTACCCACCAAAGGAGCCAGAATGGTTTTGAGGTGTTTAGCCAGGTTGTAGGTGATCGAGTCTATGCTACATACAATAGGCCGAAGTGGAAAGTTTTGTTTGTGTATTTTTGGGAGTCCATAAATACTGGGAATGGTGTCTCCTGGGTAAAGTTTGTAATATAGTGGTTTTTCAATAATGCCCTCTTTCACTAAGCTCTGAAGGAAGTCTATAATCTTTTTCCTAAACCCACTGGTGGGGTCCCTCTTCAATGGCTGGTACGTGTTGGTGTCCAAGAGTAACTGATTAGCTTTGGCCTCATAGTCTGAGCTGTTGAGGATAACTGTGCATCTGCCTTTGTCAGCTGGTAAAATAGTTATACTCTCATCCTTTTGTAATGCCAATAATGCTTTTTGCTCATCTAATGAGACATTGGATTGTGGGGGCTTCGCACTTTTGAGATGATGTGCATCTCAAAAGTGCATCCCAAAGACAACACTTTTGAGTGTTGCAGAGACTCTCAGTCTGAGGGCCCCTGCTTCACTCTCAGTTTGTTTGTTGTTTCTAATGGCTGCTTCTGCTGCTGTGATGTATTCAATTGTAGGAATATCTTTTGGGGTTATTGCAAAATGTACATGTAGGCCTTTAGTAAGAACATCTTTTTCCGCTTGTGATAAATGCCGATCGGACAGATTTTTGACCCAATTCTCCCTGTCCCCACCTTGTCCAATTTCACTTTTAGAATGTTGAAAATAATTATGGTTTTGGAGTTTTAGAAATTTGCTGACTCTGACGCTCTTTGGCCTGGTTCAGTTGGGCAGTTTCCGTAAACGTCCAAATCCTCTGAAAAAACTCTGGTGAGACTGCCAATTCCAGTTTGTGCTTAAGGCACTCTATCTCGTCCTTTAGGTTTATAATCTCTATGTTAAGTCGTTGAATTCTTAAATTGAGAATCTTCATACAGTAGTTTTGTTGTATTTTTCTTGCCAAATGGCCTGTTTCTAATGCTTTTTGCTTTAAACATTTTGGGATAAGTTTACTCTGGCTACACCTAAGATTAAACCTAAGATGATTTCTGGCGTCTGCTAATTTTCTTTTGATTTTCTCCAACCCGCGTGCCAAGACCAGGGCGTCTCTCCCAAAGTTGGCAACGATAAGTTTGTGTAAGCCCTCTGTCGTACATCACATAGAAAACACAAAAGAATTTGTAAATAAAATCAAACACCTCCAGTTTGACACAGATGAGACAATGGTGTCGTTTGATGTGACATCGCTTTTTACGTCGGTCCCTATTACAGAGGCGGTGGAGGCTGTAAGAGAAAGCCTACAGAAAGACGTCACACTAGGGGAGAGAACGAAACTAACAGCTGACCACATCTGTGAAATACTTGAAATGTGTCTTAACACCACGTATTTCCAATTTAGAGGCACCTTCTTTAGACAGATTCATGGCTGTGCGATGGGCTCCCCAGTCTCTCCTATAGTGGCCAATCTGTATATGGAGAAACTGGAGGAACAAGCCCTGGGCTCTTACCAAGGGACAGCGCCAAGCCATTGGTTTCGATATGTAGACGATACATGGGTTAAGTTAAAGAAACAGGAAGTGGAACCATTTTCAGCACACATTAACTCGGTGGACCCTTTTATAAATTTCACTCGCGAGGATGCTAAGGAGAGTGAACTGGCCTTTCTAGATTGTAAGGTCATCATACTGGAGAACGGACAATTAGAGACTGAGGTCTTCAGAAAGTCCACTCACACTGACCAGTACTTGGCCTTTGATTCAAACCATCCGCTACAACACAAACTCGGGGTCATTAGAACGCTTCAACACCGAGCCCACCAGGTCCCTACTAGCTCGGAGGGAAAGAACAGAGAAACCAAACATGTTCAGAGAGCACTTTCCAGATGTGGCTACCCGAAGTGGTCTTTTACTAAAGCCCAAAGGACGAGAAAGGCCAGAGACACAGTCCAACAGACAGAAGAAAGTAGGAGGAGAGGGGTGTCCTTACCGTATGTGGCGGGAGTTTCAGAGAAACTACAAAGAATCTTTAGGCAACACAAAATCCCTGTGTATTTCAAACCTTTCAACACGTTAAGACAGAAATTAGTGCATCCCAAAGACAAAACACCCAGACACAAACAGAGCAATGTGGTGTATTCAATTAAATGTAGTGAAGAGGAGTGCACTGACCACTATATTGGGGAAACCAAACAAACTCTACAGAAACGACTTTACCAACATTGTAGAGAAAACTCTAGTGGGCCACAGTCGGCTGTTCATCTCCACCTGAAGGCCTCCAACCACACGGTGGATGACACAGAGGTTAAAATTCTGGCTCGGGAGAAGAATTGGTTTGAGAGAGAGTGAGGAAACAAAAACCTTCTCTTAACAGAGGAGGAGGGTTAAGATTTGTTTTGCCTCGCATCTATGACGACATCCTAAAAACAACGCCCTAACTTGGGACAAGGTCAGTGACATGCTAATGAGTTAGGAGGGGTGAGACCTGCACTCCACGTGAGCATCCCAGCAGACAATAGGTCTGTGACATGCTAAGGAGTTAGGGTCGTTAGCCTCAGCAGGGTCGTTAGACCTGCTCCCTTCTACATCAAACAGACCTTAGATTGTTTATGAGTTAGTATCAGGATTAGGGTGTGACTTACCACACCCATAGGTTATAAATCTCCAACGCGCGGTCCGAGAATTCATTCCCTGAAGAAGTCCGCTGGTTTGAGGACGAAACGTCGGGAAAACTTGCTTAGAAGTACAGATGATGAGTGAGAAACCTTCCTTTGCTTTTACATCTGTACATGTTAGCAGCAGTATGTTTACATCTGTACATGTTAGCAGCAGTATGTTTACATCTGAACATGTTAGCAGCAGTATGTTTACATCTGTACATGTTAGCAGCAGTATATTTACATCTGTAAATGTTAGCAGCAGTATGTTTACATCTGTACATGTTAGCAGCAGTATATTTACATCTGTACATGTTAGCAGCAGTATGTTTACATCTGTACATGTTAGCAGCAGTATGTTTACATCTGAACATGTTAGCAGCAGTATGTTTACATCTGAACATGTTAGCAGCAGTATGTTTACATCTGTACATGTTAGCAGCAGTATGTTTACATCTGTACATTAGAGTACAGATTACATGAGTCATAGAAGGTCTTAAGGAGTTGCCCCTGCACTCCAAAAGACCTGAGCCTCCTCAGCAGAGTTGGCTCTGGTTCTTCTTGAAGAGGACGCCCTCTTGGACTCTGTTATGAGTCCAGTCCAGTTTGTGGTTCAGATGAAAAACCAGGTACTTGTCAGAGTCCACACTTTCCTTAGGCAAAACACACCGACATTGACATTGGCTGGAGTGAGTGCAATGCATGGATCTATTATAATAACTGGATAGGGTGTTACTAGCTTGTAGCTGAATAACTCACGTGCTTGGGGGATTCTCGCGGTACTGCAGACTGAACCAGACTAAATTCACGTGGGCTACCCAGAAATTTTCCCCATAGAACTCAATGCATATTAAAACAGCTCAACCTCAGCTGACAGAGAACCTACAGCTTTAATAAAGATCGGATTTTGTGGGGATTTTAAAGTCCCTTGTCATCATGAACTTTTTTTCTTCTTAAATCCTTTGGTTTTGTTTAAATCCACACTTTAGTGCCACAAACTCTGCTCGTCTGGGTCTCGCTCTAACTCCCGCTCTGATGAACTGCTCTGATTGGTCAGAGCGCGGCCGAGCCCCTCTGTGCACGTGCGTGAGACCCGGTGTGAGACCCACACACGCGTGTTTGGCGCAACGCATTATGGGAGATCATCCACTGCGCAGAACCAAGAGGACCAGACGATGCCCAAATACAGGCGAGTTTCCCAAAGATCTTTGCAACTTCCAGGCGACTTCCGCTAATCTCTCAGCCCCCATGCCGTCACAAAGCGCCACTGAGCACAACCATTCGGGAGGATCCAAGATGGCGGAATGAGCGCACGCTTTGCAGGCTCTGGTCTTAAAAAAGTTTTTATTTTGTCCTTAAATGTGAGTTTTAAGCATTTCACTAGTCAGAACTAAGACCCGTGTGGTCAAATGTAATTCTAGGTCAGTTTATAAACATTAAACACCCTTCTGATAAAGAAGAAGAAATCACGTGTATGATGGAGGACCACGACTATACGCTAGCCAGCCCCTTACCGGAGGATTCAGCTATTGATTTTGACCCGTCTGCAGATTTGTTGGACCAGGAGCTTACTCACACGCCAACAAAGGCTCCCGTCTCTAAAAAGAAGAAAAGGGACAAACCATGTGAGGAGAGCGCCATGGAATCGATCCTGAAAGCTGTTAATGAGGTGAAAGTAGCTTTGGAAAATCAGTCGGGCAAACTTGACACCCAAACTGAGTTGCTACGAAAGTTTGAAGAAAGGATCGAGGCTAACACTGGAGACATTAAAGTGAACCAGGCTGCAATTACCATACTGCAACAGTCAGGAGGTGAGTGAGCTCAAAGGAGAAAACAAAAGTCTGAAGGAAGAGGCTGCTGAACATGCCAGATACAAAAGAAGGTGGAATTTGCGAATGAATGGACTGCCTGAGAAAGATGGAGAAGACACGAGAGAACGTGTGATTGGGATCCTGACCAGAGTCGTGCCGCTGCCTGTGGATCGGCTCTGTGACACTGTGGACACGGTTCACAGGCTGGGAAAAAGGGCCAATGCAGCAACATCTAATAATCAGCCTCGGTCCATAATCATACAATTTGTGACTAGAACGGTCCGGGATGACGTATGGAAGAGGTCCAGAGATGCTCCGGTGTGCAGAGAGCTCCACATTCACTTCAAAGAGGACTTTTCCCGTGAAGACAGAGCAGCGCGCGCCAAGCTGTGGCCACTCGTCCAGGACGCACGGAGAAGAGGGCAGAGGGCGTTTCTGAAGGAGGGCTATGCGCTGATTAACAACCAACGAGTGGACCCACCATAATGGTCTGAGCTACAGATTCTCCATTCCTAATCTGCTAGTGTAAATGCACTTTATTATTTTGACTAAGGACTAGACATTCTCATTCCTGCGCATCTTTGTTCTTGCGCTTTACATATATTCTCAAGTATATTTTCTTGTATTTCTTTAAACGCTAGGGGGCTTAAAAATAATGTTAAAAGAAAGGCTGTGTTTTTGTTTTGTAAGGAGCAAAAGGCTAATTGCGTGTTTTTACAAGAAACTCATTCTACAGAGGAGGATGTGAAATTTTGGAAATTACAGTGGGGTGATACTATTTTTGTTAGTCATGGGACCTCACACTCGGCAGGTGTAATGGTTCTGTTGAATAGATTTCCAGGTAAGGTTATTGAGCATATTGCATATTTTAATGGACACTGGCTTGTTGTAATAGCAGATATCAATGATGATAAATATATTTTGGTTTGCATTTATGGATACAATGAAAGGAGTAAAAATAAGTGTTTATTACAGGAACTTTATAATCAAATTTCGAAATTCAAGCAATCTTACTCGACTGATAAAATAATTGTAGGAAGTGACTTTAACTTGGCTCCAGATTTGTGGTTTGATCGAAACCCCCCAAGAGCATTATGTCACAAATATGATGACCTTATTCTCCATTTTATGAATAATGCTAATCTGGTCGACTATTGGAGGGTAAAAAATCCTCAAACATCAGCATTTACATGGTTTAATGCATCTGGAAATGGCCAAAGCTCTAGAATAGATTTATGGCTTGTTTCAGTGCCTTTGGTTAACTTCATTGAAGAGTGTTCAATTTCAGCTTCACCTCTCACTGATCATTGTGTCATCACATTGTCCTTCGTGTTTTTGCAGGAACAACATGGAATGTACTCCACTTGGAAATTGAATAATAGTCTTTTAAATGATTCCTATTTTGATAAAAAAGTTAGAAAATTAATTTTGGAGGTTGATACTTTGGATATGTCTGCAGTCAGCAAATGGGAGTGGTTTAAATTTAAAGTTAAAGCTTTTGCGATACAGACTAGCAAATATATTCAGAAGCGAAAAAGACAGGAACAACTAGAACTAATTACTGAGATTAACAAACTATGTGAACGCACTCAACTCACTGATGTTGATACTGTAAGATTAAACAAGTTGCAATCGGAATTGGATGAGTTATACTTGGACAAAGCAAAGGGTGCTTATATACGATCCCGTGCCCGATGGTTAGAAGAGGGTGAAAAGAATTCTTCGTATTTTTTCAACCTTGAAAAACATAGACAGTTAAGAAAGAAAATTACAAAATTAAGCATTAATGGGTCTGTCCAGGAAGATCTTACAGTGATTAGAGATGAAATCCATATTTTTTACTCAAATCTTTACAAGTCTCGGTTTTCTGCTTCAGATTGTAATACATTTTTTAATGACCTGCAGGGTTTAAATCAGACTATAAATTTGGATTTTGAGGAATTCATGGACAAGGATCTTGAGATAGAGGAACTAGATCGAGCCTTGTTAAAAATGTCAGATGGGAAATCACCGGGCCTGGATGGTCTGACGACAGAGTTTTATAAACATTTTTGGAAAGATATTAGAGAGATCATGTACCGTGCCTTTTTAGAATGTATATTAACTGGTAATCTATCAAACACTATGAAGCAAGGAATTATTACTCTAATTCCAAAACCAAACAAAGATTCTCTATTATTGGATAATTGGCGACCAATCACCTTATTATGTAATGACTATAAAATCCTTGCCCATGTATTTGCTGACCGCCTTAATGACGGTTTAACAAATTTAATAGATGAGTGCCAATCTGCCTTTGTTAAGGGCAGATCGATCCATAATCACATAAGACTTGTACTTGATTTGTTAGATTATAGAGATTATGTTGACCAAGACAGTTTGATACTGTTCCTTGACTTTTACAAGGCTTTTGATACGCTAGAACATGCCTTTCTTTTAAAAGCCTTGGCTTTTTTAGGGTTTGGTAACAAATTCTGTGCTATGGTCCAATTGCTTTATAGAGATATTTACAGCACTGTTTCCCTTAACCCTGGTATGACTTCTAGATTTAGAGTGCTGCGTGGTATCCGGCAAGGGTGCCCTGTGTCCCCTAAATTGTTTATTTTAGCGACTCAATTGCTAGCTCTTCAAATTAAAAATTGTAATTTGCTAGAAGGCATTGATATATTCGGTACAGAATTCAGGCTAAGTCAGTTTGCAGACGACACTGCGGTTTTTCTTAAAAATAGTTCCATGGTTCAGATTGCTCTTAACCAAATTTCATTGTTTTCAAGGGCCTCAGGTTTAACTTTAAACATAAATAAATGTGAGATTCTTCCCCTACACTCATGTCAACACAAAAATATTTCTTCTGTCAAGGTTGAAAATGAAGTTAAATACTTAGGAGTGCTTATTTCTAAAAATGTTATCATAAGGGAAGATGTTAATGTCGCTGGCCGTTTAATTGATATGAAAAAAGGCTTGAGTCATTGGCTTACAAGAGACTTGACCATTTTCGGAAGGAACCTATTGTCTAAGACTGAGGGCGTATCCAAACTTATCTATCCTTGCCAATCCATGTACATATCACCTCAAAACATTAAGAAAGGCAATTCTATTATTTTCCAATTTTTATGGAGGAATAAAACTCACTATGTGAGAAGATCTCAACTCGTAAAAACATACGACAAAGGTGGAATCAATGCTCTAGATTTTGAAGCAATGATTGGTTCATTTAGAATCAAATGGTTAAAACAGTTTATATCTAATCCAAATTCCTTATGGTACCACATTCCAAACAGTTTTTTCAAAAAACTTGGAGGGATTACATTCCTTTTGTCTTGTGATTTTGAGATAAATAAAATTCCAGTTAAACTTTCAAAATTCCATAGTCAGGTTCTGCAGTTCTGGAAAATGATATTTAAACATAACTTCTCTCCTCATGCTTCAACTCTTTGGAACAATAGAACGGTTTTGTGGGGTAGAAAGTCTATTTTTATTAGGGACTGGTTTGATAACAACATTATTTTTGTGAACGATCTGATTGATAGTGATGGTAACATTTTAAATCATACAGCTTTTGTAGATAAATTTAAATTTAATTGTGAGTGCAGAATCTTTAAAAAAGTCTGTAAAGCTATCCCTGTTCCGCTGCTTCACCTGATAAAAAACACATTGCATTATTCTAATGTTGTTATATCACTTCCAACCCTCAAGTTACAAGACGTTAGTTTAAACGACCTCAAATGTAATAACAAGTTATTTAATGATTGTTTTAGACAAATTATTCATGCTGACTTTACCAGATCCTCTTTTAAGATCTTGCCCGATCACAATGATCTTTCTGTTTATACAAAGGCCTATTCTAAATTTATTAAAATGTCTGTATCTCCTAAAGTAAAAGAGACTCATTTCAAGATAATCAATCACATTTACCCAGTGGGCAACTTTCTTAAAAGACGATTTAAATTTGAAGTTGAGTTTTGTACATTTTGTAAAGTTGAAGATGAGTCACTAGATCATTTATTTTTCCATTGCCACTATACTCAACAGTTCTGGTCTGATGTCAATAGTTGGCTAAATCTTAAAATGATAATTCAACCTGTGAACATATCTCATATATTGTACTACATGGTCATTTCAGACTCTCATGCTGAAACTGTTGTTAATGTTGTCCTAATGTTAGCCAAATATCACATCCACTGTAGTAAGTGGAGAGGGAATAAACCCTCTTTTCCCTGTTTCATCAACGAATTCAAAATATATTATCGCTCTTTAAAATTACTTAAGAAATATAAATCTGACAGAACGACCTCCTATTTGATTTCCAAGTATCTTTTGTTTTAACTATTCTATTGCTCATTGTATTCTATTGTATAATGTAAATTGTAAGTGAAGGTTATTTATTTATTCGAGTGCCTTTGCCCCCTAGCTTGGTTATTCTAGTCCTCTACTTGTGTTTGTTTATGTATATGTTCCATTGTTCTTAATAAAAAAAAAAAAAAAAAGCAAAGAAAAAAAAAAAAAAGCACAACCATTCATTTGAATAGGGCGCCATCTTGGATCGCCGGGGCTTGGTATAGTGTGAGAATGCATCGATGGCACTATCTGGCTTCCTTGCTTCTGTCAGTGCACCCCAGGGCAGCCGTGGCTACAGTGGACGTTTATCACCACTGCGTATGGAGTGAAAGAAAATGACAAATGAAAGCATTGTTGAGTGAGTAAAAATTTGATATGTTGTTTCAATAAAATTACTAATTTATTTTTTCTTTACAGATAGAAAAGTCACAGCATTTGGCATTTACATCCTCCCTTTGACAGGGATCAAATCTGACAGGTTCATCAGAAAATACAAAGCTTAGGCGACATTGGCAGAGGACCTGATGGATGGAATAAAACATTTATTTTGTAATATAAAAATAAATATAAAATATACTGTAAATTGAAAATATAAAATTCATACAAAGATAAAGTCAAAATATAAAATTCAAACAAAGATTAAGTCAAAATATAAAATTCATACAAAGAT